TATCCACCAATAGTCTCATACAAACAAGAAAAGACAAACTATTTGCATCTCAGTAATGGCACAACCTTCTCATTTATTTTTGAAGTCTTGATGTTTGACAGTATAGATTGGCTTGCCACTTATTACACAAACCCAACCTTGTTATGAAAGAATGAATTTTCAATTCAATTTACATGAAAATATTGTAATTAACCTATGTATCTCGGATTGAAGCATAGTACATAGTAGTAATATTGTGTTGTCTTTTGTAGTGGTTAATTGTTTACACTGTTGCTAATTGGAGTTTCGGAGTTGGAAAATTAAGTCCCTTTTATGAGATTTGATGTGAGTAATTAGAATACTACTCATTTTCTGTAAAACAATAGTGTACCATCCACCGAATGTTAACTGACGCAAGAGATGAATTTTTCTCCATGCTTAAGCTGGCTTAATTAGAATGCATGTTCAATTAATTGTCACAAAAATACATTATTAAGATCAGACTCTTATTACTGGTATAAAATGGGGTCAAATTGTTGGATTAGACTTTAAGAGTTAGTATGTAGCATTATGCATTGTTATTCTACTGTTTATTTCATTTTTCATTCAATTTTTTGCTTGATAAAAACCATATCACATACTCAAATATTCCAACCTTGATCAATAGAACTATACAATAAAAAAAAAAAATTATAGTTTGAATTGGTTCATGTACAACGCACATTTATTAACTAGTATGCCCAAAATCTAAGGAGAATAAAAGAACAAAGCCTTGCATCTATTACCTAATTATAGAATTTATAACAGACAAATAAACTGACTCGTAAGAACTAGGTGAGATCTAGTTGATAACAAAATAATAGGTACACATAGGATTCCGGATTATCAGCAGTTTAACCAAAGCTTATCATAAATGCAAAGGAGTACACACTCAAAAGCGAATGAGAAATATTTCACAACAAAACCACAAAGATATAGGTAGTGAAACTATTTCAAAAAGAAAGAAGAAAAAGCCAAAGGAAAAATAAAGAAAGAAAAGGCAAATTTTTCATTTTCAATTTGATCGGACGGTACCATTTCACTAACACAATCCCCATCCTCTGAAAATCTAAAAAACATAAATAAATATAGAACCAAATAAGGGTTTATGACTCTTAATGAACTAAGAATTGATATTGAGAGTTGATAATAAGAAAGGTTTACAAAATAACATCAAAAAGAATTTCCAGAAAAAAAATTAACCAAGACGATAGCAGGATTAGATGTTACATATTCATTAGGCGTTTGGCTTAAGAATTTTGGGATAAAACAAAAAATGGCATATATAATCGATGCATGTTTGGAATCTGATCAAGAAAGTGGAAAATTAAAAATTAATAAACACACAAACAATTGCCTGAAAGAAAACTGCACAGAAACCAGAACGCACAGAAGTTACATCTCAGGATGCCCAAACTGTATGAGCATGATGTAAGCAGTAAAAGCAAGAAGACATAATACGATATACCTTAGTTCTTGTGCTTTGATTCTCATTTCTTCAGGAGTAAGAGAAGGCTTAGGAGGCTCATCTTTGTTACTAATAGGTACCTGGGTTTACATACTCGATAAAAAGTTAAAATCAAAACTAGTAGTATTTCTCTGCAGTCAGAACACCAAGAAATCTTCAAAAGGACAAGTATCCAACGAGCAGATAGAATTGCAACATACTGTAACTTCAAGGTGGGTGTGAGCAATTTCATCAGAGTCAAATTTTATGATGTCAAAAGCAGTTCCTTGAGTCACTTAAGTGATAGAAGAACCAGGGGCGGAGCCAGAATTTTTTTTAAGGTGAGCACACTAGCATTTTTTTTTTTTTTTAATAGACCTTAAAAGTTTATAAATTTATATTTAATACTTTTTAAACATAGAAGATTAAAAATCGATATACTCATAAACAAAAAAATAATAATTAAAACTTCTTATCGAGAATGCGACTAATTATTATTATTTACAATTGACTCAGGTATGTTTTTATTATTTGAAAGTATTACAAATTAATTTTATTAATAATATTTTTTTTATATATAAAATCGTGATAACAATCTTCCATTTATGATCCTATAGTTTATTACATAACGACACACATTTTTATATAATAACAAAGTAACCCTACAATTTAAAAAAATTATAAAATAACATCAATATATTCAAAACATATTCAGACATGTCTAAAAGTTAACAATTATATTAGTTGTACCTAATTTGAGATTTAATTGATGGAGACACAATGGTTTGTCACCATTTGACAGATATTAGAGTTTATTAAATATTAAGACTCACGATTATACTTAATATCGCAATATATTAGTTCCTGAAATTAGGTTTTAATAACATTGTTCAAAAAGTTAACAATCAGTTAAATAGAGATCTATTTAAATCAATATCACCAAAACACAATATTAGGGTGAGCGAAATTAAATATGTCTAAATTTTATTTTAAAAAATACATGCTTAATATGAAGCAAAAAAAATTTGGGGGGGAGGGGGGGATGTGCCCACCCTAGCCAAGGGTGGCTCCGCCCCTGAGAAGAATCCTCACACGTAACTTGTGAGATTGCACTTTGACCACTAAACAGGAACGGAATTTGTCACAATATGGGAGTAGAGGTCAACTGCAGCCACTCACAAAACCAGAGGCTAGCAAAAACTAAGGCTTTTGGGCAACAAAATGCTTGTGAAAGAGATCTCATAGCTATTATCCTGGCACAAAGGCAGCCTCCTAGGAGCCAATAATCCTGTCACAAAGGCTGCCTTCTAGGAGCCAAACAGATTCATATATGAAAAGTGGTTCAAACTCGTAGTTATTGTTCTAGAGCTCTCTCAATTCCCCCAAGGCTCCAAAACCATGGTTGCCCCAGTATTGCAACCAGTAATATCACAACCATTGACGCATTAAGTATTGAATTACTCACGCTAATCACAAAAATAGGCAGGAAAACAGGATTACATAAAAATGTGATATTTCAAATGCCACATAACAACATTTTTTGTTAACTCCAGTACATACACTCTTGCTTGATATGTGTGGAGGGAGAGAAAAGAGGAATATGGAAGAACATAGAATAAAAGGGAAATGCAGATGATGGTATTAAGATATATTTGCATGAAAAAATAACATACCAGAGGCATCTGATCTATATCTGAGTCATTCTCATGTTCAACTACCCAGTTTGCAGCAGCCTCCAGGCTCACATTACCTGAAAAGTTGCAAAAACTTACAATGGAAATGCACACGAAGTACCAACAAAACATAACAATCCAGAACCCACAAGGAAACCAGCCAAGTATATATGCTTCGCATTTTAGTGCTGTTCCGCTAACCAAACACGTCAGACAATGCATACAATAAGAATTAATTTATCTGATTTAACAAGTGCAGAACAAATGAGTAATAAAAATATGAGAAACTTGATTGAAGCAGTAAACCAAATATAACAATCCCAAAAATAAAGATCTGTTGAACCTCAACCTGAGTTGACATCATCACAATGCAAGAATCGCACATATACTTTGTGTGTGTTCTTTTCCTTTTTTTTTTTTCTAGATGCATGCAAGGTAAAGAAGATAGTAATAATTCAACCCACACCAACAATTATGACAGACCACTCATATAATGGACTAAACTTCAATCAATAGGAATTAACAATCACATCTCTAATAAGAGATTTAGCATAATTTTCAATACTGTCACACATTAAGTAGCTGTTAAAGTTTTTTTTCTCAGCTTCATTATGCAGATACTAAAGGTTATAGAATCTATCTTAGCATACTACAGAGTTTCCAAATCATCAAATATACAGAATCACTGCAAATTATAAACTAGCCATTTACATCAATTATACAATGCAAGTGGCTTAAAATGAATTCCACCTAATTGGCTGAACCCAGAAGTTGTTCACAAATCACACTAAAACAGAAAACACAACCTAAAAGTCAACAAAGACCTAAATATACGATATCTACTTCATATTACAACCACAGCCAACGAATTATACTAAACAATACCCTGACAAAGACATAAAAATAGCACTGGCTACCTTGTTTTAATGCCCTTACCAGAGTAATGAAGTGCCCGGGTTGCCTTCGCCGTTGGGAATCCCATTTCCTCAAGCTCCGCAAGCAGCTTTGGGTCAACTTCTGGAACAACCATTTCTAACGAAAAAACAAACAATCAGGAAACGGTGTTATAAAATATTCAAATATTCACCTACAATGATACAAATCCACCAAAACTGACACCAACGCATTACATACAAGTAAAGCTCTCTTCTGTGTAGCATTCAAACTTGATCTAAAAACTTGAATGGTAGTTTCTACACCATTACAGTGTGATTTGTTGTTTCTACTTTCTTACTGTTTCACTGTTTATCCTTCGAATTATTTCATGCATTGTGGAAATTTTACTCCCCTTAAGTTAAGCCTGTAAAGAACATAAAATCTTCTATCAGTGCACTCTCGTTAATCAAAACCATGCTTTGATCAATTAGGCTTTCGAAAAGCTTGCAATGGCTANCTAAAAGTTAACAATTATATTAGTTGTACCTAATTTGAGATTTAATTGATGGAGACACAATGGTTTGTAACCATTTGACAGATAGTAGAGTTTATTAAATATTAAGACTCACGATTATACTTAATATCGCAATATATTAGTTCCTGAAATTAGGTTTTAATAACATTGTTCAAAAAGTTAACAATCAGTTAAATAGAGATCTATTTAAATCAATATCACCAAAACACAATATTAGGGTGAGCGAAATTAAATATGTCTAAATTTTATTTTAAAAAATACATGCTTAATATGAAGCAAAAAAAATTTGGGGGGGAGGGGGGGATGTGCCCACCCTAGCCAAGGGTGGCTCCGCCCCTGAGAAGAATCCTCACACGTAACTTGTGACATTGCACTTTGACCACTAAACAGGAACGGAATTTGTCACAATATGGGAGTAGAGGTCAACTGCAGCCACTCACAAAACCAGAGGCTAGCAAAAACTAAGGCTTTTGGGCAACAAAATGCTTGTGAAAGAGATCTCATAGCTATTATCCTGGCACAAAGGCAGCCTCCTAGGAGCCAATAATCCTGTCACAAAGGCTGCCTTCTAGGAGCCAAACAGATTCATATATGAAAAGTGGTTCAAACTCGTAGTTATTGTTCTAGAGCTCTCTCAATTCCCCCAAGGCTCCAAAACCATGGTTGCCCCAGTATTGCAACCAGTAATATCACAACCATTGACGCATTAAGTATTGAATTACTCACGCTAATCACAAAAATAGGCAGGAAAACAGGATTACATAAAAATGTGATATTTCAAATGCCACATAACAACATTTTTTGTTAACTCCAGTACATACACTCTTGCTTGATATGTGTGGAGGGAGAGAAAAGAGGAATATGGAAGAACATAGAATAAAAGGGAAATGCAGATGATGGTATTAAGATATATTTGCATGAAAAAATAACATACCAGAGGCATCTGATCTATATCTGAGTCATTCTCATGTTCAACTACCCAGTTTGCAGCAGCCTCCAGGCTCACATTACCTGAAAAGTTGCAAAAACTTACAATGGAAATGCACACGAAGTACCAACAAAACATAACAATCCAGAACCCACAAGGAAACCAGCCAAGTATATATGCTTCGCATTTTAGTGCTGTTCCGCTAACCAAACACGTCAGACAATGCATACAATAAGAATTAATTTATCTGATTTAACAAGTGCAGAACAAATGAGTAATAAAAATATGAGAAACTTGATTGAAGCAGTAAACCAAATATAACAATCCCAAAAATAAAGATCTGTTGAACCTCAACCTGAGTTGACATCATCACAATGCAAGAATCGCACATATACTTTGTGTGTGTTCTTTTCCTTTTTTTTTTTTCTAGATGCATGCAAGGTAAAGAAGATAGTAATAATTCAACCCACACCAACAATTATGACAGACCACTCATATAATGGACTAAACTTCAATCAATAGGAATTAACAATCACATCTCTAATAAGAGATTTAGCATAATTTTCAATACTGTCACACATTAAGTAGCTGTTAAAGTTTTTTTTCTCAGCTTCATTATGCAGATACTAAAGGTTATAGAATCTATCTTAGCATACTACAGAGTTTCCAAATCATCAAATATACAGAATCACTGCAAATTATAAACTAGCCATTTACATCAATTATACAATGCAAGTGGCTTAAAATGAATTCCACCTAATTGGCTGAACCCAGAAGTTGTTCACAAATCACACTAAAACAGAAAACACAACCTAAAAGTCAACAAAGACCTAAATATACGATATCTACTTCATATTACAACCACAGCCAACGAATTATACTAAACAATACCCTGACAAAGACATAAAAATAGCACTGGCTACCTTGTTTTAATGCCCTTACCAGAGTAATGAAGTGCCCGGGTTGCCTTCGCCGTTGGGAATCCCATTTCCTCAAGCTCCGCAAGCAGCTTTGGGTCAACTTCTGGAACAACCATTTCTAACGAAAAAACAAACAATCAGGGAATGGTGTTATAAAATATTCAAATATTCACCTACAATGATACAAATCCACCAAAACTGACACCAACGCATTACATACAAGTAAAGCTCTCTTCTGTGTAGCATTCAAACTCGATCTAAAAACTTGAATGGTAGTTTCTACACCATTACAGTGTGATTTGTTGTTTCTACTTTCTTACTGTTTCACCGTTTGTCCTTCGAATTATTTCATGCATTGTGGAAATTTTACTCCCCTTAAGTTAAGCCTGTAAAGAACATAAAATCTTCTATCAGTGCACTCTCGTTAATCAAAACCATGCTTTGATCAATTAGGCTTTCGAAAAGCTTGCAATGGCTAGGAATTTATCTATTCATCCAACTTAATGCTTACAGGTGTGAACTCCGCTGAACTTCCCCTTATTCAGTCTAGACTTGCTCCAAAAAATTCTACCAAGGGGACAAAATTTAGTGACATTCCAAGAATTGGGCTGACGAATTTTAAACATTCAACCTAGCTTCCCCTATATATTCGGGAAACCAAAATAAGTTGAAATCAGACACCTGTATTCATCCTTCCTTTGAAGAAATTAAAAGCTTAGCACTTGTGTATGAAAAAACATGGTCCAAATGAACTGAACCAAGCAAAATACCAAAATGTTCAGGCTCGGCTCGGCTTATGTACTTTGATAGTTCAAGCTCAAGTTTGGCTCAGCTCAACTCGCGTGAGTTATAATGTCACTAGCTAAGCCACAGCTATAATGACTGATAATCCATGAGTCAGAATCCAATGACATTCCACTCTCCAGNGCTGTTCCGCTAAACAAACACGTCAGACAATGCATACAATAAGAATTAATTTATCTCATTTAACAAGTGCAGAACAAATGAGTAATAAAAATATGAGAAACTTGATTGAAGCAGTAAACCAAATATACCAATCCCAAAAATAAAGATCTGTTGAACCTCAACCTGAGTTGACATCATCACAATGCAAGAATCGCACATATACTTTGTGTGTGTTCTTTTCCTTTTTTTTTTTTCTAGATGCATGCAAGGTAAAGAAGATAGTAATAATTCAACCCACACCAACAATTATGACAGACCACTCATATAATGGACTAAACTTCAATCAATAGGAATTAACAATCACATCTCTAATAAGAGATTTAGCATAATTTTCAATACTGTCACACATTAAGTAGCTGTTAAAGTTTTTTTTCTCAGCTTCATTATGCAGATACTAAAGGTTATAGAATCTATCTTAGCATACTACAGAGTTTCCAAATCATCAAATATACAGAATCACTGCAAATTATAAACTAGCCATTTACATCAATTATACAATGCAAGTGGCTTAAAATGAATTCCACCTAATTGGCTGAACCCAGAAGTTGTTCACAAATCACACTAAAACAGAAAACACAACCTAAAAGTCAACAAAGACCTAAATATACGATATCTACTTCATATTACAACCACAGCCAACGAATTATACTAAACAATACCCTGACAAAGACATAAAAATAGCACTGGCTACCTTGTTTTAATGCCCTTACCAGAGTAATGAAGTGCCCGGGTTGCCTTCGCCGTTGGGAATCCCATTTCCTCAAGCTCCGCAAGCAGCTTTGGGTCAACTTCTGGAACAACCATTTCTAACGAAAAAACAAACAATCAGGGAATGGTGTTATAAAATATTCAAATATTCACCTACAATGATACAAATCCACCAAAACTGACACCAACGCATTACATACAAGTAAAGCTCTCTTCTGTGTAGCATTCAAACTCGATCTAAAAACTTGAATGGTAGTTTCTACACCATTACAGTGTGATTTGTTGTTTCTACTTTCTTACTGTTTCACCGTTTGTCCTTCGAATTATTTCATGCATTGTGGAAATTTTACTCCCCTTAAGTTAAGCCTGTAAAGAACACAAAATCTTCTATCAGTGCACTCTCGTTAATCAAAACCATGCTTTGATCAATTAGGCTTTCGAAAAGCTTGCAATGGCGAGGAATTTATCTATTCATCCAACTTAATGCTTACAGGTGTGAACTCCGCTGAACTTCCCCTTATTCAGTCTAGACTTGCTCCAAAAAATTCTACCAAGGGGACAAAATTTAGTGACATTCCAAGAATTGGGCTGACGAATTTTAAACATTCAACCTAGCTTCCCCTATATATTCGGGAAACCAAAATAAGTTGAAATCAGACACCTGTATTCATCCTTCCTTTGAAGAAATTAAAAGCTTAGCACTTGTGTATGAAAAAACATGGTCCAAATGAACTGAACCAAGCAAAATACCAAAATGTTCAGGCTCGGCTTGGCTTATGTACTTTGATAGTTCAAGCTCAAGTTTGGCTCAGCTCAACTCGCGTGAGTTATAATGTCACTAGCTAAGCCACAGCTATAATGACTGATAATCCATGAGTCAGAATCCAATGACATTCCACTCTCCAGACTGAAAATCTAAAAAATAAAATTAACCCAAATTTAGCTACCAAATTATGACGACCAGTAGGATTCAATGTCAACTCAACATCCAATCTTCCACCTAAAAGAGTGGTATACCGTTCAAGCATGTCACATATATACATAACAAAATTCAACTTAGAAATAAAAAACAACAAACAAATATGCACATTGTTAACTGTATCACAAAACCCATAATCATAAATAATTATACCTTCTTTTTGGCCACTACCACTTCCCTCAGCAGCCTCTTCCATATCCACATCGTCGCCCTTCGGAGTTTTTGATACTTCCAAGGTTATAGGCTTCACCGCCTCGGCCGTCTTGTCCATGAACTCAGTATGCCCAGTCCTTTTCGTATGCAAATCACTCTCCTACAAAAACCCAGACCACGTTACGAATCAAAAACAAAACCCAACAAATTTAAGAGCCCAGGTCACCTCACGAATCAATAACACGCATAAACATCCAAAAATCAATCATAATTTACGGTATAACACAAAATATATAGATTCATAAAGGAATAGATGGGATTGAATTGGTACGATTTTGGAGCGGCACGGTTTGCCACAAGCAACGCAAACGAGGTTGAGAACGGCCTCAGTGGACTCCATAAAGTTGATGTGGGTGGTGAGATCGGCGTGTTCTTGTGCTTCTTCTACAGATTTCAACAACGTTCCACAGTCCCCACACTTCAGAGATACACCCGCCATTGTATTCGATCGATGATTCACTCTCTATTATGTGTGTGTGTGTGTGTGTGTGAGAGAGAGAGACAGATGTTTCTCNGGTGAGATCGGCGTGTTCTTGTGCTTCTTCTACAGATTTCAACAACGTTCCACAGTCCCCACACTTCAGAGATACACCCGCCATTGTATTCGATCGATGATTCACTCTCTATTATGTGTGTGTGTGTGTGTGTGTGAGAGAGAGAGACAGATGTTTCTCCGCAGTGTTGTCTTATGGTTTTGTGAAGGAGACTATGATGGGGGTGGGTGGGGAATTAGGATGGGCTTGAGATTCGGAGGCTTGTCGCAGAATAAAGAAATATACGGAAAAAAGGGGCGTGTTAACATACGGTTTGGAATATACAGTTCTTTCGAGTTAATCATCGAATTAAATTTGTTATTTGGAAATAATAAGGTATTAAAATATTTCCTGGTTTTATTTTTTATTTTTTCTCTTNACTGACACCAACGCATTACATACAAGTAAAGCTCTCTTCTGTGTAGCATTCAAACTCGATCTAAAAACTTGAATGGTAGTTTCTACACCATTACAGTGTGATTTGTTGTTTCTACTTTCTTACTGTTTCACCGTTTGTCCTTCGAATTATTTCATGCATTGTGGAAATTTTACTCCCCTTAAGTTAAGCCTGTAAAGAACACAAAATCTTCTATCAGTGCACTCTCGTTAATCAAAACCATGCTTTGATCAATTAGGCTTTCGAAAAGCTTGCAATGGCGAGGAATTTATCTATTCATCCAACTTAATGCTTACAGGTGTGAACTCCGCTGAACTTCCCCTTATTCAGTCTAGACTTGCTCCAAAAAATTCTACCAAGGGGACAAAATTTAGTGACATTCCAAGAATTGGGCTGACGAATTTTAAACATTCAACCTAGCTTCCCCTATATATTCGGGAAACCAAAATAAGTTGAAATCAGACACCTGTATTCATCCTTCCTTCGAAGAAATTAAAAGCTTAGCACTTGTGTATGAAAAAACATGGTCCAAATGAACTGAACCAAGCAAAATACCAAAATGTTCAGGCTCGGCTTGGCTTATGTACTTTGATAGTTCAAGCTCAAGTTTGGCTCGGCTCAACTCGTGTGAGTTATAATGTCACTAGCTAAGCCACAGCTATAATGACTGATAATCCATGAGTCAGAATCCAATGACATTCCACTCTCCAGACTGAAAATCTAAAAAATAAAATTAACCCAAATTTAGCTACCAAATTATGACGACCAGTAGGATTCAATGTCAACTCAACATCCAATCTTCCACCTAAAAGAGTGGTATACCGTTCAAGCATGTCACATATATACATAACAAAATTCAACTTAGAAATAAAAAACAACAAACAAATATGCACATTGTTAACTGTATCACAAAACCCATAATCATAAATAATTATACCTTCTTTTTGGCCACTACCACTTCCCTCAGCAGCCTCTTCCATATCCACATCGTCGCCCTTCGGAGTTTTTGATACTTCCAAGGTTATAGGCTTCACCGCCTCGGCCGTCTTGTCCATGAACTCAGTATGCCCAGTCCTTTTCGTATGCAAATCACTCTCCTACAAAAACCCAGACCACGTTACGAATCAAAAACAAAACCCAACAAATTTAAGAGCCCAGGTCACCTCACGAATCAATAACACGCATAAACATCCAAAAATCAATCATAATTTACGGTATAACACAAAATATATAGATTCATAAAGGAATAGATGGGATTGAATTGGTACGATTTTGGAGCGGCACGGTTTGCCACAAGCAACGCAAACGAGGTTGAGAACGGCCTCAGTGGACTCCATAAAGTTGATGTGGGTGGTGAGATCGGCGTGTTCTTGTGCTTCTTCTACAGATTTCAACAACGTTCCACAGTCCCCACACTTCAGAGATACACCCGCCATTGTATTCGATCGATGATTCACTCTCTATTATGTGTGTGTGTGTGTGTGTGTGAGAGAGAGAGACAGATGTTTCCCCGCAGTGTTGTCTTATGGTTTTGTGAAGGAGACTATGATGGGGGTGGGTGGGGAATTAGGATGGGCTTGAGATTCGGAGGCTTGTCGCAGAATAAAGAAATATACGGAAAAAAGGGGCGTGTTAACATACGGTTTGGAATATACAGTTCTTTCGAGTTAATCATCGGATTAAATTTGTTATTTGGAAATAATAAGGTATTAAAATATTTCCTGGTTTTATTTTTTATTTTTTCTCTTTTTTTTTTATGATTTGGAGTTGTATGAAAAAATGATAAATTTATGCACAAAAATATGCGACAACCATCTCTCACATCAATTATACTATTTATGTCCAATTTAAAAACTTAATTTAAGAAATTAAATTTTATGATGAACTTCATTCAATGTTGAAAACCACTGATAATTTATAATTGTCAACGTAAATTAATTTTCAGCACCACTTCTCTAATAACTTATAAGATTGGATGGTCTAAACTAATAAGATATTTGTTTAGGATTCTGTGAAAGAATAGAATAGAAAGTGAATATCAACTATANCTTCTCTAATAACTTATAAGATTGGATGGTCTAAACTAATAAGATATTTGTTTAGGGTTCTATGAAAGAATAGAATAGAAAGTGAATATCAACTATATATTATTTTAGTGTATATTTCAATACACATAGTGTATTTGTATTACAAGGGAGTAATAAAGTATCATAGGCTAACTTATGTGGGGCAAAGATAAACATATATACATTAACATCTTCCCCCGTACTTAAGGTGATATCAATGATGTCAATTGGAGTTTACAAACTAAAACAAAGTGACGATTAGGGGATGAGCCTTCATGAAGATATCAGTCAACTGATCAACCAAAGCAATCGAAAAAAAGACGAAGAGNGGGGCAAAGATAAACATATATACATTAACATCTTCCCCCGTACTTAAGGTGATATCGATGATGTCAACTGGAGTTTACAAACTAAAACAAAGTGACGATTACGGGATGAGCCTTCATGAAGATATCAGTCAACTGATCAACCAAAGCAACCGAAAAAAAGACGAAGAGTACCCTCATGTAGGTGATGACACACAAAATGACAATCGATCTTGATGTATTTTATGCGCTCATGAAATACATCGTTGTCAATAATCTGAATAGCACTGCAATTGTCATAATAAAGAGGAGTATTGGACATGTGATAAACACCCATATCTTGTAGAAGCCAACGAAGCCAAATGAGCTCGGAAATAATATCAGCAAGTGCTTGATACTCAGCCTCAGTACTAAAGCAACAACAATTGTCTGTTTCTTACTCTGGTAAGATATAATAGAGTCAACCCAGAAGAAAAAGAAAGCCAATGATAGACTGTAGGTCAGTAGGATCACATGCTTAATTAGCATCCAGAGTAAACTTGCAACGTCAAGGATGAGTGAGAGGAAAAATGAAGCCCATAGAATAAGGTGTCATTCACATAGCGTAAGATGCGAATAACAGTTGCATAGTGAACAGAACGAGGGAGCAGTCATAAGTTGGCTAACGAGTTCACAACATAGGCAATATCCGGCCTAGTAATAGTGAGATAAATTAGGCTTTCAACAAGTTGTCGATAACAGGTAGCATTTGACAGAAGCTCTCTATCAATAGGATGGAGTTTGATGTTGGTCCCTAAGGGGGCAATCAGTCATCTTACAATCAATAAGAGCTACATGAGAGAAAAGATCAGAAACATACTTGGCCTGGGTAAAATAGTAGCCATCAGAGGATTGGGACACCTCTAGTTCGAGAAAGTAACTGAGAGCCCAAGTCTTTCATCTCAAAGTGCTGACTCAAAAATTGTTTGAGTTCATAAATGCTAGAAGGATCATTACTAGTAATGATCATATCATCACTAGTAATGATCATATCATCAATATAAAGCAGTAGAATAATAATATCAGCGTCAGTATGATGAGTAAAAAAAGCGAAATCACAGGGGATAGAAGCAAACCCAAGTTATGCAATAGTAAAGCTTAATTTGGCAAACTAGTCATGTAGAGCTTGCTTAAGTCTATATAATGCATGTCGAAGACGACACACCTTACTAGGAGGATGAGGACACCCTTGGGGAGGCTGCATATAGACCTTCTCATCCAAGTCATCATGCAAGAAGGCATTCTTCACATCCATCTAAAACAAAGGCCATCGGTGTGCAGAGGCTATGACCAAGAGAAAGCGAACATGGGTAATGCGAGCAACATGAGCAAATGTCTCCTCATAGTTAACACCATACTCCTGTTTAAAGCCCTTGGGTACCAGATGTGTTTATATATCGCACCTCAGAACCATCAGAATTCATTTTCCTTTATATACCCATTTATTCCTAACTATAGTCTTTCTAGGAGGCAAATAAACCAAATCCCAAGTATGAGTTTTGTGAAGGGCATCAAGTTCTTCAGACATAGCTCGCTGCCAAAGAGAGTCAAAATAAGACTTGCAATAACTGCGAGATTCATGAAGTGTAGTAAGAGTGAAAAAATAATGATAATTATTAAGATGAATGGGGGGAGCCCTTATCATATTGGAATGATGAACATCCAAAGTGGAGGAGGACTCAGGTGGATAGGGTGAGATAACAGGATCAACATATGGTCCAAATTCATGAGAGAGCAGTCATTGACTTATACTCAGATGGATCAAATGTGATAATAGAATCAATAGACGATCTAAAGTCGTGAGGAACATTCGTTGAGTTATCACCTGATAAGCTTACATTACCTGCATCCAAAAAATCTAGGAAAAGATCTACAGACGGGTTAGTGAAAATGGAAGAATATGAAGAAGTATCAGATGAAATTTGAAACACTAGTGAAGACCTTGTGTTCCTAGCACTTAACATGGTGGAAGACTCAAAGATGTTTGGTTATAGGGTCATAACACTGATAACCCTTGTGTCCAATGTCATAACCAATAAAGTAATAGAGATGAGAATGGGGTTCAAGTTTTGTATGCTTATGAGGTGGAAGTAAGACAAAACAAACACAACCAAAAACTTTTAAAAGAGAATAATCGAGTACCTTTCCATACAGAAGTTCATATGGAGATGGATTAGAGATAGTAGAAGATGAAACCCAAATGATAGTGTAAAATGCAGTAAAGGCAGCTTCTCCCCAAAAAGATTATGGGAGAGAGGCGGAGAGAACAAACAGTGTCAATAATATGATGATGCTTACATTCTACATGACCATTATGTTGGGAGGTGTAAGGACATGATTGATGAGACAAGGTATTTGTCTGTGTTAAGTTATTCAATGAATGGGGCTGTCTTATACTCCATGGCATTACCAGAACGAAAGATTTTAATAGTACGATCAAACTGAGTTTTTATCAACTGCTTAAAATCACAAAAGATATTAAGTAACTCAGAGTGATCATGTCAAAGATAAATTCATGTATGTCGTGAATAATTATCAATAAAAATTATAAAATAACGAGACCCATCCTTAGTGGAGACAGAAATAGGTCCTTAGATATCATAATGAACCAAATCAAAAGGTTATAAGATAAATAATCACTTCTACTAAAAGGCAGAGCTTTATGTTTGCCCAATTGACAAGATATACAATCAAACAACTCAAATTTAACATCTCCTAAACAACCACTAAAAGTTAAATATTGGACCTAAGGTAAAGATGCATGACCAAGACAAGAGTGTTAAATACTAGAAGACACAATAGTAGCAAGAGGTTGAATAGAATAAGAGTTTGGCATATGCAAATGTGTAAGCTCAAAAAGGTGACCAACTTTACGCTTGGTCCCAACAAGCTGACTTGTCTTCTGATCTTACACATCACACTCTTTTTGAGAAAATGTTAAGATAAGACCATATTCAACAAGTTGACCAACATAAATAAGATTTAGAGATAAGTTAGGAACAACATATGTGTCAGTTACAAAAATAGTATGGGTAGAAATAAGACCAATGTGACTAATAGGCATATGTGAACCATCAACAGTATATATGTGAGGCATAAAGCTAAAAGACCTCTTATAAGGCACCAGGTAAGGATCAAATTTCATATGATTGCAATAGGCTGAGTCAATAAATTAGGAAGAAGCTTTACCTAAGGAGACTGATAAAGTAGGGGAAGAACGTGATAGAATATTGGTCATAATTGACTCAAGGTCAGCTACAATAAAAGAAGACTTACTTGAAGAGACTGATAATGCAGGAGAAGAACGAGATAAAACCTTGGTCACAATTGCCTCAAGATTAGCTACAATAAGAAAAGACACACAGGTTGTCGCAGCAAGAGTGGTTGGAGTGAAGGAGCTAAATAGTGTAGCGGCCATGACTAGATTAGTTCGGGGCAAGTTGGAATGTCACCGAAGGGTGACCGAAAGGTTGCTGGAGAATAGTCAAAGGTTGTCGGAGGATGGCTGGGAGATGATTAAAACATCGTTGGAAGACTATCAATAAGTCAATGGAGGATGGTCGTAGCAGATTGAAAGTTTTCCAAAGAATGGTTGGAATAGATCAGAAGTTCGCCAGAAGATGACCAAAGTAGATTAGAACTCCGCCGAAGGATGGTTGGAAGTTCACCGGAGGATTACTAGGGGCAAATTGAAAGTTCTCTAGAGGATGGCTGAAAGTTCGCCCAAAGAGGAAGAGCCTCAAGAGTTATGATGTGGAGGATCCCCCTATAGGGGTAACCACAAAGCATACTATCATTGATTAGAAGGATTCACGAGCCTAAACTTTGATACTATGTGAAAGAAGAGGATAAAAAGTGAATATCAACTATATATTGTTTTGGTGTACTTTTCTATATACATAAAAAGGTGTATTTATACTATAAGAGCTACTCCAAGAGACTCCATAAAACATCCTTTTTAGCTATTTTACATAGCCAATCCTTAAATATTGGCTCCAAGGGACTAGCTATCACACTAGTTATTTCTCATTACCACCATTTGGCTGGCTACTCCTGGGTAGGGCAAAGAAGCTAGCAACTATGATTTTTGTGCCAACAACACCTCTGAGGCTTAATCGCAGAAGACCTTCTTCATCGTCTTCAAAAGGTAGATACCGTTTGCTTCAGGTACCTAAGATTTGACTTATATTGCTAATTAGTAGAGTTATGCTTGTGTTCGATTTTTGATTTTAAACTTTAATTGGTTTTTGGTTTTTGGTTTTTGATTTTCGATTGAAATGACCTCATTCTTCAATGGCGAACATAAATTTACCTCTTTCTTTAATGGAGAATAGAAATTTACCTTTCATTTTCAGTGTCATTCTGCACGATTGTGTTCTCTGTTATTCACTTAGGGTTTTTGATTTTATTGTGTTGTTTTAGCTAGTTTTGACGGCTTTGTTTTTGGTGCTCTAGCAGGAAACTCAACGTCTTCTCAACGAACCAGGTAAAACTCCCACTTTACCTCCCCCGTTTGTTACATTTGATTTCTTTATCAGAGATTGGCCTCTCTTTATCTCAGGTTAGTGTGGAAAACCAGGACTTGCAAATTTTGCTGCTTTATAGCAGTGTCAATCAAAAAATGAATGTCTTTTAGAACATGATTAATCCCACATCCTTATGCACTGCGCTGCAATTTTTTTAGGAACATGATTAATGTTATCGGTTTTTGTTGTTATGATCTATATTGTGGTTCATAGTGGTATTGGTGTTGAATGGAGGGTCTATATTAGTGTTGAATGGGCTGCTATTTCCTCCCAAATCTGTGTTGTTTTCAATTGATTGTTTGGAGTCCTGGATCTCGAAAGTTTTTGTTGGATTATCTTAATGGTGTTGTGTTTTTATTTAACATGTACAAGTTGTGGGTGGTTGTGGAATTAATATAGTTCATGGGTATAAGTTTTCAATTCTGGAATCTGAGTGGTTTACATCAATGGGCTCTTCTGAGTTTTCTGTGTGGCTAGTTGTTGTGGATAGTGGTTGAATATCTCTAACTTGTGAGATTCCTTTCATCTATTTTTTCCATTTTATATGTGATTCTTTTGAGAATTGACTATAAACCTTACCTATCTGTACAAATGTATTGTGTCAAAACCATATGAACTGATTTGTTATTTTTTCTTTTTGGCTACCAAGTCTAAGCATGCAAGGCTTTTCTGACCTTTCTTTGTATGGATGTCTATGCTCTCATTGTATGGAATCCATTTTCACCATGGTGCTCTTTAAGTGTCATTCTTTCTTGGCAAACACTTGTTTTCTCCTTCGTTCAACTTCTTCACCTATTGAGCATGAATTATGAATTGTGAATTGTTAATTGTTAATTATAGGCATTATTCATGAATCCATTCCAACATGGTGCGTATTTCACCAATCTTATGCATGATGGAACAAATTTAGATGATGGGGTTATATGTCAATTTTCACCAATATCTCCTCAAGTAGAATCCACCACCAAAAAATAACGAGGTGACAATTTTACAGTAGAGGAAAACATTATGAATTTTAGTTTGGATGTTGTGCAAAGAAATGACCAAAAATCAAAGACATATTGGCAAAGGGTTTGCGAGTTCTTCCATGAATACAAACCTAAGACATGCCCTAGTCAACAAATTTTGTGGGCGCTTTGCATAGATAGAAATACTGAATCAAAGTGGCTTGACAGAGAAAGACAAGGTATACGTGAATATTTTCTTACAAAATAGTGTACTTTTAATGACATGATAATGAATTTTGTTGTAAAATTTTTCAGATTAATGATGCCAAGAACTTGTACAAGAAACTTTATAAATCTTCTTTTCAGTTTGAACATTGTTGGAATGAGTTAAGATATCAACCAAAATGGATGGAGAATTCTTAAGTAAATAAGCAAAAAACAAAACATAATGCAACTCCTAGTAGCTCAGTGCCTTCTACAGCGGACTCCATAAATTTAGGAGATGACGGTGGATTCTATGGATCCTTAGATAGGCCACTTGGAAGGAAAGTTGAGAAAGCGTGACTACAAAAATCAAAGAGTAAAAAAGCTGGACGTGATGCAACAAGTTCTGAACTCGTTAATTTGTTAGCAGATATAAAGGAAGAGAAAAAGGTAACGAGTGAGAAGAAATTTGAAATGTTTGAAAAATGTTATCTTTAAGAACAACAACGTCTACTGCAAGAGAAAGAGAGAATGCAAATGGAGCAAATAAGAGAGGAAAAGTGAATAATGTCGATGGATACGAGTTGCATGCCTCCGTTGCAAGTTAAGTATTATCAATGCCGCCAAATGGAAATTATGGGGAAGAAGATGTAGTTTTTTTTTTATTAATAGACATACAACTTTAAGTAGTAATAATGATGCTACAAGTACTATAATAACATTTGCTTAAGTAGTGCCTAGTAGTTTCCATGCATATTCCACTGATGCTTGACTAGATCAATTTGGAGTTTGGAATGACTTTCTTTGTTTCTAATGCAATGTTGAGTATCAATAAATTGGAGCAGTTATGAACTCTGCTTAGGTATGATTGTGGCAGTGGGGCTCTCATCTATTGTATCATAACTAAAGTCTAACTCATTAGTGTTCCACTCATCCTCGATAATCATGTTATGTAATATTTTGCATGTCTTCATAATATCCTTAAGCACTTCAACTATCAAAAAACGTGTTGGTCCACACATTATAGCAAATCGTGCTTGGAGCACTCCAAATGCTCGCTCAATATCCTTTCTTGCTGACTCTTGAGATTTTACAAAATGTATTAGTTTATTGCCTCTTAGAGATGAAATTGTTTTGACAAATATTGCCCATTTTAGATATATACCATCAATAAGGTAATATCTTATTATATAATTATTTCCATTAACTGAGAAATTGACTGGAGGAGCCCGACCTTCTGAAAGGAGAGCAAAAACAGAAGAGCGTTCTAAAACGTTAATATCATTATGAGATCCACGTAATCCAAAAAAGGCATACTAAATCCAGAGATCATATGAAGCTACCACCTCCAAAATAATTGTTGGTTCATGGATGTGACCAGATTACATACATTTTCATGCTATTAAACAATTCTTCCATTTCCAATGCATACAATCAATGTTACCCAAGATCCCAGGAAATCCACGATTGGTACCCATTTCTAATAATCTAGCAATGACATCGTTGTTTGGTGACCTGAGTTATTCATCGAAAAAAATTGCTACTACCACCCTCACAAATTTTTTTAAACTTTCTATTGGGATACTTTCGGCAATTAATCATCAACAGCATTTGCTGCAACTCCATAAGTGAGCATCATTATGACACTGTCATCTTTTGAAAGGAAGACAAGTCAATAATTCTAGCAACGTTTTTTTTTTGGGACAAAATATGGATCATAATCTTTCACTATGGATAGAATATGAAGGAAAATGGCTCGATTCATTTGAAACCTTCTTCGAAATAAATTTGGGAGATAAATAGGCGATTCAGCAAAATAATCACGATATAGTCTCTTGTGCTCTTAAACTCGATTGCGAAAAATAACTGAATGACCTTGAATGGAACCATGACGTACACCAGAGCTTTCCTCGCTATTGAGTTTGTTTATTTCAATAATACAAATTGTTACCATCTCCAATTTATCATCGGAGTCAGAATCGTTAAAAATCATCTTCATTTCAGGATGACGAGCCATAACAAAAACACAAAGAATAGTGCAATGCCAATAAATAGATTTGAGATATATGCCACCGAGAGATAGAAGATCGTATTTATACATATCCAAAAATATGACCATTGTAAATATAATCGTTAAAAATATGACCGTTAAAAAATTTAAATTTTAAAATTTTGAATTTCGTAACCGTTATAATTATGACTGTTATTAATAAAAATTAAAATTTTAAAATTTTGATGACGTGGTGTAACACGTCAGCATGTGATGTCATCAATAAGGTGATGACATCGCATATTACACAGTATTTTGGATTTTAATAATTAATAGTTAGTTAAANCGTCAGCATGTGATGTCATCAATAAGGTGATGACATCGCATATTACACAGTATTTTAGATTTTAATAATTAATAGTTAGTTAAAATAGTTAACTAAAATAAATAACCATGGATCGTTGATTGGCGAGTTGTATTGACCCAACACAATTGTTACTAAGCTTAATATTTTGGTGGTATTTAATAAAATTAAAAATTATGTAATAAAAGTTGAATGTTGAATTGTGAAAATTTTAATATGCAAATTATTTTGTATCTACTTTAAACTAAAGTAGTGAGTTTGATCGCATTGTTTGATTTATATAAGGAGTTGAAATATGAATGTTATAAATTTACCATCATCACACTCATCATTGTCATTGTATTCAATTCCACCTCCACGTTAACACATACTCTGCTACCATTTTCGTTGTTATTCCTCCAGCATCACAATCACACCACCACTACCCCATTCACCAGTCACTACTACCAAATCTATCGCCTACACATAAATTGCCAACATTATCACCGAAAACTATCATTACCCCATTCCAACTCTATACTATCATTGTCACCACCACCTATATGTTGGTTATGATAGGTTAGTAGTGGTCAGGTTGATGGTGATAGTGGTAAGAACAAAGTTGATGTCGATAGTGATGACAAGGATAATTAAGTGGTGAGGGGATAATGATGGTAGAGTAAGGTGGTGATGATGGTTAAGAGTAGTAATGGGGGAAAATGTTGACAATGATTGGGCGTATAGGTGTGTTGGGGGTGGGGGAAGGGTGGTGATGTGGTGGCCACAAGTAATGGTAACCATGACAGTGGTGGTAGTTGTGGTTGGTTGGTGTCAATGACAACAAGGCAACGATGGTGAGCTTTTGATGATAGTAGCAATGAGGTGGTGATGTAAAAGTTAGGGATGATGAAAACATCAATATAGGTGGTGGGTGGTATCGATGGTGATTATGGTAATGGCTTCAAAGGGGTCAGTATGGTGGCGGTGGGGTGGCTTGCGAAGCCTCTAAAATCGGGGGTCCTTTTTCAACTGTTGACCACCCGTTAACCCACAGAAATATCGTTGATCTTCGCACAACTCGACTTCATGTCAATAACATCCCCCTTGACGGAGATTATAACTCACACGTGTAATCCGTGTATATTTTATCATTTAATCAAATCATGGTTCAACATACCATATTCCATACTCCATTATAGTCCATTTATATCCTTGGAACCAAAGAATCTATAGCCCAAAAGTTTGGCAAAGTAATTTTTTAAAATTTCAAAATTTTGGAAAAAGTACCGGTATTGTGAGCCTTCTAAAAAATCCGTACCAGTACGCTCTGCCTTCTGGACAAGATTGTACCGGTACGGTTAACCCAGTGGAAAATTTGTACCGGTACGGATAACCTACTGGATCTCGTTGTATCGGTACTCTTTGCCCACTTTTGCCTATTTCACCTGCTTTTCATTCTCAACTCATTCGTAAATATATTATTTCCATCCAACTCATGTATAATGAAGTTTTTCATGTAATACAAGGTTGATACAAGTTTTATTACATTCAATTCAATGTATTTACATACCAAAAATAAAAATTTCATAATTGTTTTACAAACAAAAAATAAAGCCACATTTTAGCTTTCTTCACCCTTAGGGTTTCGTGTGAGGGCCTTCCACCGATGTATATCTCATACCTGAAATATTTTTCCGTATAGGTTGAACCACGCCTAGTAGAGTATTTTCTACCGAGACTATTCCCCAACCTAAGTGCATATGAATGTTCATGCAACATTTTACAATCAACAACATCCCAACCAAGAACATATTTTTAAATGTTGGAATCTTTGAAATGTCATGCCATGAAATGAGA